TAATCTTATCTAGAAATTTAGATCTAGACATAATAACGATAAATTGTACATTCATACCATCGACTATTATAATTGAACAGTTATTCATATTTTACGTTTGATTTTGTGGTTCCAAATATAAACTTCAATTTTTTCATTTAAATTTAGCGACAAATTTAATAAAATATTTAATAAAATTTTGTAATAAAATTTAATAAAAACGTCTTTTTTATAAAAAATAAATTTTTTTTTTACATTTTCTATCATTTCAGCTGATTAGCAACAGTAATTCTTTTTAGCAACAGAAATTTTTCTATTATATTCTCATGATTGCTCGATGTATATTTTTTATAATTATTTAATTAACGAATTAGATATGTATTTGTTTATATGATTGTTTCTAAAATAATATAAATTTATTTTATTTATAAATTTATTAAACTTTAAAATATTTTAAAATATTATGAATTACATATAATTAAGGATTCTATATTCCTAATATTTTCTTATAATATGGATTTATATAATCACGAAAAAGTGCTGCAATAATTGTACAATAGAAAACGATTTATATTTAAAAATCTATTTATTTGATTTTACTAGTGCCTTTATTAAAACGTTAATTCATCAAAAAACATATCCATTATAACTACAACTAATAGATAAAAAAAGAGCGTAACAAATCTGTTTGTAATGTAAACAGCTATAATATTTTATATTCATATGTTGACCTTCTGTATATATTTCCTCTTATATTTATATTTTATACGTTCTATTATAAATTCCATTTAATAATTATAATGAAATGAAAAACAAATTATGAATGAAAGGTTTCATTTAATAAATAAATGATTACAGTTTTCTATTTTATTATTGTTAAATTGCAAAATAAGGAATTTAATACACGATTTAATGGTGTAATTTTATCCACATTATGTCATTATCGTTTTTTATAATTAAATAATATTTAAAAATCCGAAATGTTCTAAGTATACGAATATATTTTATTTTCTTCTTTCGAGTATTTAGAATTCCGGATATTGCAACATATTGATTGCAACTATATTCCCTTTCTCCTTTTCAAGAAAACTAGAAATCATATTTCTCAACTCTATTCGATTAATATTTTCAATTCTTTATTTAAAAGCATAAATTTAGAACCAAAAACGTTCTTTAGATTATACAGAATTTTTAAATTTCTCGAATTAATATTTTTTTTAGTTTTAATGATCTATGGAATCTCTTAACTTTATACCTTTTTAATTCATTATTTATAACTTTCCAAAAAAATCAAAACATATCAAAAACAAATATCAACATTCTATAATTAATTTAAATAATTTTTCAGTCTATGGAATGGCGAAAACAATGGGAAGTTGACAAATTAACTAAATGGGATCCTCCTAAAATTTTGAAAGATTATCTACCTCATGGTTTATGTGGTTTTGACAAAGATGGGGCACCAGGCATGTATAAATCCTTTTTATTTATTAACTTTTGATATAACGAGATAAATATATTAAGTGTTTTTATCAAAAGCAAATTAAAGAAATGATTTTTAAAAATGTTATTAATTAATCTAAAAAATTCTTATATCTTTACAGTTATTGTTGTATATTTCGATGCGCTTGATCTTTATGGTATTTTGCACGTGGTTTCACGTATGGATATGATAAAAATGACCATAAAATGTCTTGAAGAATATTTAATGTTGTGTAGAGAGCAAATGTTAAAACATGGTCCTTTGGCTGGTCAGGTAGTTGTAATATTTGATATGCAGGGATTCAATTTGAGACAGTATCTTTGGAGACCAGGTAAAATTTATATACATCATGTAATCCATCAGACATTACATAAGTCTTTTATGGTACATTAATTTCATTTTTGAAAGTATTCTTATAAGAAATCTTTTTGATTATATGTATATTCATTCATTGATTCATTATATAACATTCATTATAAAAACAAAGTATTGACCAATGAAATTCTTATATAAAATGAAGTAATATTTTGTTTCCTAAATTTTTAAAATGATAGTTAATGATGTAATTCTTATTAAATTAAATTTTTTTTCATATCATATATTTCGGTTATTTTTTTGTCAAAAAGACAAAATTTGAAGTTTGTATAATAGTTTAATAATTTTATTTTTCAGCTGGAGAAGTTGTAATTACTTTAATCCAAATGTATGAAGCTAATTACCCGGAGATTTTGAAAACCTGTTATATCATTAATGGTATATTTTATAGTACAATATATATATAATTATATAATATAATCAATGATTAATATAATTATACATTTTTATAGCTCCAAAAGTATTTGCTTTTGCGTTTTCGGTAGCGAAAAAGTTCATGAATGAATATACTCTGTCGAAGATTCAAATATTTAAAACAGATCCTTCTAAATGGCAGGCAGCAATATTCAGTAACATTTCAAAAGATCAAGTACCTGCTTTCTTTGGAGGTACTCTTAAAGATCCTGATAGCAATCCAAAACTTGGAACAAAGGTGAAGAAATGAAATAGAATTTACGTCATTTCTAAAATTTAAATAAACTTTTGATAACTATATAAAAATACAGTAGAATATTTATCAGAAATGATTTATTAGAACAAAATTTTAATTGATATTCGATAACTAAACTCTTACCGATTGAATTCAATTATTTAAATTTTATATACTATTTATATTAGAATAAGAAATTGTAAGGAAGAAAATCAATATTAATATTATATCAATTACATAATGCATACAATTTTTAATTAAAATTTCTGTTTATGTCAGATTTGTCTCGGTGGCAAGGTTCCTCAAGAAATGTATGTGACTAATGATAGTAAAGAGAACTTTACAACGGTCACGATTAAGAAAGGTGGAAAATTAGAACTTAATATAACAGCACTCGAGATGGGATCTTATTAAGGTATAAACAAATTTATAAATGAATTATGAAAATTTCGTATTTATTAATTGTGGGTGATTATAGTTGGGAATTTCGAACCGAGAATCATGATATTAAATTTGGTATTGTAAAGAAAGATGATAATGGAATGCAAAAAGAAGTGATACCTATACGACGAGTAGCTGCTCATCAATTAGATGAAATTGGAATTCTGACTTGTGAAGTACCTTCTACATGTGAGTATACATTGCATTTTAATCATAAAAGTATCAAAAATATTTTATTTATAATTTTATCTATTTTAGATTCTATTATTTTTGATAACACTTATAGTATTATGAGAAATAAAAAAATACATTATTCCGTGAAAGTTATACCACCATCACAATCGCAAGAAATAATATCAGCAACTTTATAAATAAAAAATAATAATAAATATTTTTTGACAAATATATTCAAATATATAAATGTTATATATATAAAATATTATATAATATATTTTTATGTTACTTTTATTTTATTTTTTTTTAATTGTATTATATCTAATTGCAAATACTAAGAATTTAATGATATTTTTTATAGGTTTTATAGAGATGAATTTAAAAATAATTTATTTAGTTTTATATGTAAATTTATATGGATGTTAATTTTACGTTATAAAAAGTATTTTTATTTTATCTGTATTATAATTGTATTATTCTATAAAAAAATGTAGAAAATTTGACTACAATATATGTTAATAAAAATTAATATTGTAGGAAACTTCAAATTCATTCTTTATAGACTTACACAATTGCTCATTTTGGATACCCATATTTCATCATGCAGAATTGAACTATCTAATCATCATCATCAGCAAGTAACATTTCAATTAGATCAAGTTTTAAACATTGATTCCCTTCCAGACGTTTTTGTGTACCCCATTTTGCTAAAGTAGGTAGAACTTTTAATTTTGTAACAGAGTTTGCTCGAAATGGACAATTTAAATCTTTCCAACTAAAAGAATAAAAAATTTTAGAAATTAATTATTTTTCAAGGATAATGTTAATATGTCTTGTATATTAATGTATAAAATATTTACTATGGCCGATCTCCAACTTCAACTTCAATTAAATGTGCTGATATAGGAGCTATTTTAAATCCTTCTTCTATAAAAGGTTCAGCTATAACAAAGATATAATTTTTTTTATCTTCACATGTACATATTGTTCATTTATTTACAAGAATATTTTGAAATACTAAAATATATTTTAATTTTTATTATAATTATATAAAAATATGCATATAATAAATAGTTACTAATTTTAAATTATTTTATGCAAAAATGTGGTTACATACGAATTTATGTTATGTATGAAAATATATAATTTAGGTTATGTATGAAATAAATGACGACGGTCGAAAGATTGTACCTTCAACACAGTCTGGACACCAACTTTTGCCGTTAGGAAGTTTTTTTCCAGTATAAAGTATGTAAATTGATTCATTAGATTTAAAATTTTTCATAAATTCGAAAAAATTTTCGAATCCTTCAACGTGGTGACGTAAAACCATTTTCTATTATTTCTCTTTGAACAATAAGTACAATGATATTAAAATTTTACGATTTTTTTTTATTACATGATATATTAGTATGCAATAGTCTCTTATTAACTGTAAAAAGGTGACACCTATGCGAGATATTTTTAGTTGATATTAATCGAGGCGATAAGTAGTAGAATTTCTGATTAATTGAGTTGAATATAAAAATTTTAATTAATAAAATTAATTTAATATTGTAAGTAAAATATTATAATAAAATACAATTTACAAAAGATTTTATTATATTTGAGATATATTTAAAATATTAATATTAATTAAGTATTTATTCAATAAATAACAGAATATTCTATATGATATATGATAATATTTATAAATAATATATATCATATATATTATTATTTTATTATATTATAATATGTAAATATCCACGTAATAAATATTTTAATTTCTATTTCATATGTTTAATATTCCAATAATGCATAACTTCAATAATATATACATATATATTGTCAATTTTTCTGATTAGTAAAATTGTAATATTTAAATATGCCGCGAAATATCATACCGAGAAAACTTGGCAATAGTGCGTAGAATTCCGTAGTTGTCAATTCCTTTTATATAGAACTTGAACATCATTATCCGATTGGTCGAACCATCCACCCTCCCACTCCGATAACATGACGATGACGAGATTCTACGGCCAATCGGAGTGTATGTAAGGCGAGGGTGTTTGGTATGCTCTAGGACAGGGCAGCTTGTTCGCAGTAATTCAAGGTTTTGACTGTGTAACAATATTGTGTTATCGTTATTTGTTATAAGAGAAATAATTCGTTTTTACAATAGCCGCGAAATCTTGTTGGATTTAAGTTAACTGCGCATAGAATGGCTGCAGTTTTTGATATTGAATTGCACGATGCAGACACAGTAAATAGGGACGAGTCTGATGATGATGTTATCGAGATTGGCGAGGTAATTCTTCATCCGCACACGAGCACTCCAGTTTCCTTATCGTCATTTTCATTTCACGTTCCATAACGTTGTTCCTATACGTTTTTCTTTTCACGTAGGAAGAATACGATGCGAATCCAAATGTGAATGAAATAACCGAGTAAGTAAGCTTTCCTTTCCGCTTGTATATATCTATCATGCCTGAAAATTTTCGTAATAATGACAATTTTCATGCTCTGCTAGCTCGGAAGGTGTCGAGACAGTTCCAATATCAGAACAAAATGTTAATCGCGGAAGGGAAAGAGCTGGACCACAGGATTTCGAGCTATGCAAAGTTATTGGAAAGGGTGGTTATGGCAAGGTTTTTCAAGTGCGTAAAATAACGGGTAATGACAGTGGCACGATCTTTGCGATGAAGGTAGGGAAATATTAGATTTATTCACTTATATGTAATTTATTAATATTTCACTATATGCGATGAGATAATATTTTCAATAATATATTGATTTTGTTTCGTAAAAAATTTTAATTGATTATTTTGTTCAGTATTATATAAGTTCTTTGTCTCCCTTTGTCTTCTATATGATTGTTCAAATGATTATTTTTTTCCTCTCTTTTATGTATATATTTAAATATGATTTAAATTAAAAATTTTAAAAATTGTTATGAATAATTAATTTTTTATTCTGTATTTATGAATTTTATAAAAAAAATGTATAAATCTATTCATTATTTAGAAAACTTATTTATCAATGTAGATAATTTTTTAAATTCTCTGGAAAAAATTTTAATTTTATTATATTTAAGTATATAAAATAAATAATGTTTCATTTAATAAATTATGATAATGTTATTACATATGTATGTCTTTTTTTAGTTTAAAAAGATTATATTTATTGTTTAATGTTATGCATTATATGTTTTTAATTATGTTTTCGATAAATTTATATTAAATGTACTTATCTAAAAAATAGGTCTTACGTAAGGCTTCAATTATAAGGAACCAGAAAGATACTGCACATACTAAGGCTGAAAGAAATATTTTAGAAGCTGTAAAGGTAGGTCAAATAAATGAATTTTAATTTAAGTAATTTTTATGATTATTTATCATTTAATTTTTAATATCAATTTGTTTTAATTAATAATAATGTAAAATAAAAATAACACTTATCAAAAATATATATCAAATTTTACTTATTTTCATTTGTTATAATTACACAACTTAATTTTAATAATTTTAAATTAATAATTCAATTAATAATTTTCTAAATTAAATTTTGTTAAATAATGTATATATTATATATTATATATTATAATATATAAAAATATATAATATATAATTATAATATATAAAAATTAAAATATGTATATGATTATATCTGGCAGCATCCTTTCATCGTAGACCTTATGTATGCTTTTCAAACTGGTGGAAAATTATATTTAATTCTGGAATATATGTGCGGTGGTGAATTATTTAGACATTTAAATGATGAAGGCATTTTTCTTGAAGAAACTGCTTGGTAAGAAAAACAACAATATGATAATTATTTCAATTGTAATCTATTGTATATATAAATGCTCTTCAAAACTATATGCAAATTTTATTTATATAGCTTCTATCTATCGGAAATAATATTGGCCCTTCAACATCTTCACTTACAAGGAATTATTTATAGGTATTTTAATCTAACTATATATATAAATTTAAATATATTCAAGTTCAAGATATATTATATAATATATATTATTATTTCAATGATTAATTATTTTTTTATTAATGAAATTTTTAGAGATTTAAAACCAGAAAATATCTTGTTAGATGCGGAGGGACATATAAAACTAACTGATTTTGGTTTATGCAAAGAACATATACAAGATGGCACTGTTACACACACATTCTGTGGTACTATAGAATATATGTAAGGAATTTTTACAATTATAGAAAAAAATGTAATCAATTTTCATATTGATATTTTTTATTTTAATAAAAGGGCTCCAGAAATTTTAACAAGAAGTGGACATGGTAAAGCAGTAGACTGGTGGAGTCTTGGAACTTTAATGTATGATATGCTTACAGGTTCGGTAAGTATTATTCTATATAAGTATCAGATTGATGGATTAATGTTGTTAATTTAATTAAATTATCCAACTTATATATATTTAATTTCTAGCCACCATTTACATCTGATAATAGAAAGAAAACTATTGAAAAAATTTTACGTGGTAAATTAAATCTTCCACAATATTTAACACCTGATTCTCGAGATCTCATTCGAAAATTGTTGAAGGTTAATTTTTTAAATCATGAAAGATATATATTCTAAATTACATAATAATACAATTTTATATTTTTATAGAGACAAGTTGCACAAAGATTAGGATCTGGTCCGTCTGATGCGGAACAATAAAAAATCATCAATTTTTCAAGCATATCAATTGGAATGATGTTATTTCCCGTAAATTAGAACCACCATTTAGACCAACATTAGCCAGCGAAGACGATGTATCACAATTTGATAAAAAATTTACGACATCTGCACCAATAGATTCTCCTGCAGAATACACATTAAGTGAATCTGCTAATAGAGTATTTCAAGTGTGTTTTTATATATTTTTTTTGTCAATTTTCTGTAAAATTTTATTTTAATACTTTATATAATTTTATTTTAATATTAAATATCTTATTTTTTTACTTTTACTTTTTTTTAGGGATTTACTTATGTAGCACCTAGTATACTTGAAGATATGTATTCGCAACCACGAGTAATAAATGCTAGAAGTCCACGTAGAGGCAATATGCGTGGTTTTTCTCCACGAACAACGCACTTTCATTTACATAATAATCATGTGCAAAATCATAGGTAAGTATATTTTGTATCAATTAATTATATTTCACAATATCATATTATATATTCTAATGTATAGCATCATAATTTATCTAATTTATAGTAATATGTTTAATTTTCATAATTGCATTCAATAATCGTGAAAATTTGTAGACATAATGGAGTTGGACATGGCAACGTAGAAGATACAGAAATGATCGAAATAGGCTAACTGCCACTTTTTCTTATAGTGAAAAAATGCTTAGCATTTCGGCCTAACTGCTAAATATCCATGACCAATCCTTGTGTCTCAGGGAGGGATTTTATAAGATATAGATGGAATAGCAAAAGGATAGGTCTAATATCCATTGCTTCATTGGATATTCAGCAGTTAAATTTAGCTAATTTTTTTTTTAAATCAAGTTTAATTATGATAAAGGTACTAATTAAGATTATGCTTTAAGTGCAGCGACGCAGCAGTTATTTGGTAGCATATAATAAAAAAATATATATTTATGAGTAAAAAGAGCTCTCGCAACATAAATAATCAAGAGGGAAGTTTTATTTACTTATTTTTGTTGGTAACTATGTACTGAATATTATAAAAGATACATTATTCGCATACATTAGTCAAAATACTGCATATGTTTCATTAATTCATTAATATGTAATCACTTACTATGTTTTTTGTACATATGATCCACAGGTTGGTTGGATATTCGTATATATATATATATACATATATATATATATATATATATGTATTTCTATAGAAAAAGAGAATACACACAAACATCATTTAAACTAAGTGCGACAGACTGAAAAATTCCAGCACTTTTAGAGATTCATAAATTATATTGTTAATACACAGGTTCAACCATCTTGTAATTACTTGTATATTTAAAAGTCCGTACACGGCGCTTATAATAATATTGCAGTGTACACATGCTTAAGTGTAATTAATTCAAAGAAAAGAAAAAAATCAGAGAAAGAAAGAATAGATAAAAGACAAATAGATTTAAATAAGAAGACTTACAGCTGCCACAACCGCTCCGCCGCTCAAAATTCCATATCCGGTTGTTCATTTAAAAAATATTTTCAGCAGTAATAACGTTTCCATGGCAATAATATAAACAATAACACATCTGCACGATAGTCTTAGACAAAATGTTTATGTAATATTGCAACGGAATTGCATTTGTACAATTGAAAGTTCCTAAAGAAATGCAAGTTCAAAAAACTTTGCAATTTATATTCCAAACTTTAAACATACAAATAACATTTGTAGAAGTATTTGTTTATTTATTATAAGAAATTTAATATTAATTTAACCACTTGAATGCCTTAGCAAAAAGGGAAACAAACTTTTGTTCCAGTTTGATATAATTAACAAAAAAATTTAACATAAAAACAAGTTACCATGGTAACAATGTTACTGCAAAATGTTAACTTTCCACTATTACCAGAATATGTTTCGTATCTTAATGTTCGTGTTTACACGTTATTTAGTGTGACATATATCGCAATTTATTTAAATATCTATTTGTTACATAAATATTTATATATTATTGAAAACTAATATATATTAATTTCGATGTATACATGATACACTAGAAAAGATAAAAAAAAGTGTAAAAACTAAGTGTTTAGAGTGACTTGTTGGCCGCTCATCGCGTAATTTCAAACTACCCAAGTGTTCACAGGCCATATTAGTTGGCATTACAATTTTATCTATATTTACAGCGAATATATACACATGGTCGAAATGTTAAAAAATTTTCCCTACGATTTCGATATTACATTTCGACTATGCATACACGGAGACAAACGCATATAAATAAATAAATATATATATATATATCTATATATATATATATATATATATATATATTATATATAATATATATTATATATTATATATAATATATATATATATATATTTATACATGATATATGATTATATTCGCGCAATTGTATTGTATTACAAAGCAAGCGTATATTTGAAGAAAATAATTTGTAAGCCACTTTTTCAGTACGTATTGGATGACGTATTTTCGATGTTGAAGCGAGAATCTGTCTACAGAGTTATTGGAATAGTGATGATCGTGTTTAATATTTATGGATTTTTCTATAGTAGAAAATATCAGGATACAATTGATAAACGATTTGATGTTTTGTTACATCGTTTTGTCGGATTTATAAAGTGAGGAATTAGCATTTAATTGATAATTGTAAAAAATCACAATTATGCAATTACAATTAATTATAATTATATAGTGATGTTAGTATATTATCATATCTCTATATATAATATTACAATAATTTTTTATGCATTTTTCGATAAAAAAGAATGTTATAGAATGTTTTGGAATGTATTAGGATATTTACAGGAAAAAAAAACATTTCATTATTCATATAAGATAACTTGTAGGTAGATTCTACAAAATATGCTTTGCAACAACCGATCTTGGTGCTCGATACTCATTTGATTCAATTCTAAGCGGCCTGAATACCGTAATTAATTTTTATACTACAAAAAAATATTGTTTATTATAGCATGTATTTCATTTAAATTTTACGTATATTACATTTTTTCGTAGCGATTGGAAATGATTACGAGACCGAATTTAGTAGAAATTGAAGATTTATTTTTCATAATATTATTTTCAATATAATAATAATAATAATAGGAATAATAATAATAATAATAATAATAATAATAATAGGAATAATAAAGAAATGTGTTATGGTTATTCTCGAGGCACAAGATATATATTAATTAAGCGCTTAAAAAACAAGAAGAAAGAAGTATCATCAATGATGTGCAAATGAAACACTAGCCATTGGCCAAACCAAGTGATATGTGGTTTAATGCTTCCAATTAAAAAAAATATAGATTCTTCAATTGACTTATTGCTACCATGATTTGTAATCCTCTAAATCATATTTACGAATAAATATAATGTTTTGTGACATATTTTTGTTATATATGTACCAATTTCTGTTCTTAAAAAAAAATGAAAAATTGTTAGTATTTTGAATTTGGCGCCATTTGAATATTTCAAGAATAGTACTATTATATCATTAACTTTGCTATTATTTTATTATAATAATATTGCTACTATTAATTGCTGTTAGTACTTAAATGAAATGCAATTATAGTATCTATTGTCAAGCTGAAAATATTGGCAAACAGCAGATTGCATTTAAAGGACGTTTAAACTACGCACAACGTGTGTCATACTAATGTCTGATTGTATGTATGTGTATGTGAGAATGGAGAACTAGCGTCATTCGCGTGGGTGCGACCGTGCGTGGTTAATATTTCATGGACGTTCAAATGAGTTGCAGATGATCCAGCTCAATCGTCATAATATGTGTACGCGTAAATGGCATCGCTTCGAGACATGTATTCTTCCGTTTTTGGCAAACCATGACGATTCGAAGGTGTGAATACGCGTCACACAAATGCACGTTAAAGATCGATGGTGCACATACGTCGCAATTTTAAGTGTTGAGCATTCGCATCGATGTTGGTCTCGAGAATCGATTGTTTTGAGTAAAGTTGTGTCAATCATCTTGAAATGTTTAAACTGTTGATTATGAAAATTTATGATCTTATTCGAGTGTGGATCTAGTATATATCTAAAGTTTTAATTTGAATTTCGTTAAATAAATTCGTATCGTAAAACAAAAAATATCATTTGAATTTAGTGTATGAAGTGCGAAATAAAGATTTTGATTTGGCGTACATATAAAGCATTGATTTCTATTCGAATAAAAGTTTATTATTCGAATAAAAGTTTATTTTAGTTAAAGGTTTGTGTTTTCTCTATACTTATGTATAAATTGATTATATATTAATTCTGTATGAATTTGATTACAATTCTAAAAAAAAAAAGAATTGAATGAAAATTTATTGAAAAAATATTTATTGCGCAGGAATACGATTTAGCAGTATTTTTTTCTTTTTCTTCTTCTAAAGAATCTGGCACTTTTAAATATTAAAATCTTTAATATTATTAAAAATTTGATATTATTTTTATTTACATATTATCGTTTTCTAGTTTTTTGTAAATTGTGTAAATATTTAAAATTTAGAAAATATTAGTAAACTTTAATTGCATCATAAATAAATTTAAAAATCATATTTAGGCTCATCATATAATTGCTGAGAAACAACGATGATTCATCATGATAATTTGAATACAAGTTCGCGGTCGTCTCGAATCGGTTGATCGAGTGCCAGCATCGAGACATCAGTGCCGCGGCTCACTTCCGGTCCTCTGCGCCGGTAAAACGAAATTCTAACGAACGAACGATTATCTCAAAATTTTTCAACGAATCTTTAATAGCTTGAAGGTGTTTTTCAAATTTGAAGTAATTTTAACAATTGTTCGTTACTTTACGATGTATACAGGTTAGTAAAAATTTATAATTAATTAAACTCAATTTACTAATTTTTATTAATTACATTATCGATGATAAATATTTATATTGAAGTCTATATTGAAAATAGATTTAGTTGAATATAAAATGAGAATTAGAAATTTAATGACTAAAAATATATATATATATATTTTTTTTATACTTTTTATACATTGATTTTTTTATTCAACAATAGATAGATAAAGTTTTTGTAATTATAATCGAAAATTAGTTGAAATAATTTTAATTTTTTATTAAATATAATATTAATATTTGAAGAGTTAAAAAAAAATAATATTTATATTACAAGGAATGGATTATAATATAATGGATTATAATTTGAAAATTTGTATAATTGTATAATTCTATCTTTGAATAGCTTTTATACTAATAAGATATTAAAAAATTATTATTTTATTTTTAAAGTTTTTTAATGAAATATAAAATTATAGATTTTCAGTTGACTTCCTATAGATAAGATTTTTTTTAAACAAAAAGTCTTATCTATAGGAAGTCTTATTTTACATTTTTGGCATTTTTTTTATAAAAAGCCACCCATTTCCCAGATATAACAATCACAGAAATGTTTTGTATAATAGAGAATAAGTTATATAAATTATTATTATATCATTTTTAAAATATATTTGTTGAAATGTATAGTGTAATTGGTGCAGAATCGTTGATCTCTTCAACCATTGTAATCGAATAATTAGTCTTCAAGATGGTACGCTTTGCACGTTTGTCTCATGCAAAAGAAGAAGCAACAAAGGTAAGTTAATTAATGAAAACAGGAATAAAATAAAAATTAGATAAAACGAAGGACAATGTAGTATAAAAATGTTTTTTTTATCTAAGAATGGTAAATACATTTACAAGATATTGCATTAGTCATAGATATTTAAGACACAAACGGAGATGGAACTGAAGCCAAAATATATCGCGTATTTTTGATTCCTTTTGATAGATATTGATTAAAATTACATTAATTTTGAATTGAAAGAATCTTTATTACATTATAATTTTCAGAAAAAATAAAAGATTAAAATATAAAATATTGTTATTATGAAATATAAAACTATTACAATAAAAAATTGAAATGGAAATCTTGTTGTACTTCGATTCATCATTCTTCATTTTTTATTTTTCTTGATTGTTAATGATATTATTGTGGATTTTATCGATATTTGTATATCGATAAAAAATATATTATATTATAGTATATATAAATATTATATCTAAATATTATATCTATATCTATGATTAATATTTTCGCTAATTATCATTATTATCATTATTAATTTCTTTAATCTTGTATATTATACATTAAAATAAGCGATGAATAATCTCTTTTAATCAACTATCGCGCAAGATACCACACATTTTATATCCATTTTGATAAAAAAATTCTAGTTGGCACCAATAGAGGGTAAGCTAATTCTAAGAAAATACTAACCGAGTTTAAATTCGTAAACTTCATGTATACAAACAATAAGAATTCCTAAATTTTTAAAATATTGACTATTTTAATTATCACGTCTCGAACATTATCTCATTATAATAGATTAATTTATTTAGATAAAGAAAGCGTAATTTTCTACATAAAGAAAAACGTAAATAAGATATTAAATACAATAAGTTTTTTTTATTAATTTTCATTAATTTTCACTCCTACTTCTTCAGTGCGATTTTTACTACATGTACTTCGAAGAGGTGATTGAACACGCGCTCAGAACCGAGTACCATCAAAGAGAAGCGTGGATGTTCGCGTTCGACAATTTTCGGATCCACCCTAAAAACGTGTTTCGTCGACACACAATCAAGGATGATTCTCGTCGGATATTTCAGTCCACTGTTAGCGCAGTGCAGCGCGCATTAATACGTATGTAAGCTCGTATCGTGTGGCTGTATATTCGTTGGTTCGTTTCGTTCGCTCGCTCGTGGCCGTGCCATCTATTATTAGTCGACAGTCATCAGAGTCGGCTGTATAACGCGCGGCCGAGCGACAACGCGGAAAAAGCTGGAAGAAAATTCGACGAGAAAACGCGAGAAACCCGCGAGATTTTTGTGCGGCACGTGCTGATTGATAGACAGTTCGTCATTACTGCTCGTATTGCCACCTTGCCGTTCCCGCTGTCACTGCCACCCTATCGCGACCAGGATTTCCATCCGACACTCTCTCGATGCCCTTGGAAATGATGATTTTCACACGCTTTCCACTGTGAGTCTCCCCTGTTTGTTTCGATACTGCGTCTTTCGCCCATCGAAACGCTAAGTAGTCTCTTTGTTGTGAGCACATTTTTTAACTATATTTTTTGAAAAATAGGGACTATTGTAAAACGTTTCTACGAGATAATCGAATTTACACTTCGAAAATCATATTTTTCCTTTTTCCCCACATTTGTTGTTATATTCCATAATTATTTATGTAGAAATTATATATATATATATAATAATATGCATACATGATACAATTAATATGTATATGGTATATAAAACACGATTCAGAAAATATTTATTACTTTTTATGTCTAATTCGTATATTAATTTGGTAACTTTTCAAGAATATTGTATGATGAATTTTATATTTATTTATATGAATTTTTTGAATTGAATTTGCAAAAGATTTTTAAAATGAATTATTTTATTTTTGAAAAAATCAATTGTCATTATTTAATCGCTTTTAATTTAATTTTTATGAAGGCTATAGATCGATACAGTAATACATACTTGAACATACGGTGAACAAGTTAGGAAAATTTTAATGTAAAGTACAGTTTGTCCTTCTATTATTAGTGAAATTAATTTAGAACAGTATATATAGATGTCTGTAAACAATCATTGATGCATTTTTGAACAGTGATTGCTTGAAATTAATTTGTTGTTAATCTTGCAGATGAGGGATGCGGTTCCACACAAAGGAAATAATAATAATAACAATAGTAGCAGTAATAACAATAACAACAATAATAATAACATAACTACGTTAAAAAGCAAGCCTTCCTTGGAAATTTATCGACCTCCAGGTTCATATTTTATACTCTTAATTTTTTGTTATAAGATTTTTAAATTTTATAATCCTTTTTTAAGATTTTCAAATAAATTTAATGAATATTTAAGAGTTGATATTATTTTTTAGGAGGAAGAACGGAAGGAACTACGGCGAATATTACTAATCCACGGCTAAACGTACATGCTAAGGAATTCACTATGAAGCAGAATGATTCGCATCCTTCTAAGTGAGTATAAACTACTTACGAAATAGTTGGAGACTGGTCGATATATTGAGAATACTTGGAAAAATGTTATTTGAAAAAAAGCATGATGTTCTTATAAAATATAAAGTTCTTATAAAAATGAAAGTATTATTTAAAAATTAGAAATTAAAATCTTGAAAATAAATTTTATTTTAATATAAAAAACAATAATATATTATTTGCTGTATTTTATATATAAAAAAAGAATATGTGCTTTTTCATGTTTTAAGAAAAAAAATGTTTATTTCTATTTCTTATTTCTTATTTCTATATTTTTATATTTCTATTTAAGTATGACATATTTGAAACGAAGCATCTTCTTTTTAATGGAAGTAATTTTGAAACCATATTCATTTTTTAAAATAGCTTGCGTAATTAGGACCTTATAGATTAGTATTCAGATTAAGTGAAAAATAGTATAAGATTATGTCAGCATATTGCAATGATACTTTGATAATCGGTTCTTATAACTTTCTTTAATCCTTATAGCTTTAAAAGATCAAAAATATAAACAAATTAATATATGCAATATGATTTTTTATTAAAATGTACATATACTTAATAAAAAAAAAACATAATTTCAATAGGATGTTTTACTTTAATGATTGATATTTAATGATTTTGTTTCAGATCTCGGATAAATGCTTCAGAGCGATCTCCGTATTATTTGCAACATAGTAAATCGAGTGGAAATGTACATCGATATCTTTATGCTCAACAGCAACAACAAATACATACCCTTCAGCAACATCACCAGACATCACGTCACTCTCAGAGTAGTCATCATTCAACGGGCTCTGCTTTGCGACAGTCACATCCACTCGATACCTCGGCATCAAGTGGAAACATATTACATGTAATCATCGATTTTTTTTATAAAATAATATTAATTGTTTATTGATAGAACTTGAGAAGTAAGTTTAATTTAAAAAAAAAGAAAATACTATAATAATAAGAAAAATAACAAAAATTGAAGTATTATGAGAAATATAGAATATAAAATATAAAATATTAAATATATTTTTTAGTATTATTTTCTTATAAAAAATAATTTTTATATAGATATAATTTATTATTATATTTTTGTTATTTAATGATATAATATTTAAATATTTAATTGCCTTTAAGATTGTAAAAAACCTTGAAATATAAACGTGCGTAGGATGAACGTGAAAGTATCGCTAAACACAACATGTTATGAAACAGGGTTCAGGTAGAGTCCACTTCAATGTAGATCAAAATGATGTCAAAGTGAACACAGCTAAACCTGGCAGACTTATAAAATCGTTATCCTTTGTCTCTACTTATGGATTAAAACGATCGAAAAGTTTGAATGCAGCTGATGTGTTGGCTGCAAAGGCGGTAAATATTTCAGACGCATCTGAACTCGGGAAATTCCCAACAGTGATTCAGGACACACTTCTAAGAGCTATCGAAGGTAATTATAAAAAATTAAAAGATATAATTTTTATATTTATTCTTATTCTTATTATAACATTTATATTTATTAATTGTAATTTAAATTTTTAATTCTTTCTTTTAAATTTAGATCCGAATTTATTGAATGCTCGAGCTTTAATGGAACTTGTACGACATATTTTGGAAAGAGTTGTCGAGAACCGGAAGTATGCTGAACCTGCAGCGAAAATTTGTATTACTATAATTGAGGTTGTTATAAAGTATTACACTATTAATTAAGATGAATTTCAAATTCATGATTACCACAGAATTTCTTTTTTAATGTAGAAAGAAAGTAAAGAAACTTTCTTGGAATCCTTGTTAAATACATGTCAACAATGGTATCAAGATCGAGTTAAAATACTCTATGACGGATCCAGTTATCATCGTTATTCCGCTTTCATGACATTCTTAAACGAGATGTATTGTCAGGTAGAATAAATTTTTTTTATCTTATAAATTAACTATTAATAAATTTTTGACTCAATCGGAAATCCATAATATAATTTAAGTGATCATTATGATTTTTGAATCATTTTATTTAAAATTATTTGAAATTATCATATTTAATAATATTAATTGCATCAAATCAATAAACTTTTTGCTATTTGTGAATCAAAATGATTGATTATAACTTATATTTATCCTCATCCATATGGATGATTTTGGTTATAGCTGAAACGAAGACAACTTCAATTAAAGACACAACAGGAGGGTGTTCCTCCCGGACGTGTTCTTCTCACATTGCTTTGGAAATGTTGTCAAGATTGTTTACAACCTCCAGTTGTAAATTCTTTGGCCGAAGTAGGTTCAATACATATCAATACATAATTAAAATAATACAAAATAATTTCATTATTTAATATCTACATACAATGTTAAAAAAATAATTATTTTTTTCATGTGTTAAAGACTGACTGCTTGTTTTTCATCTTAACATGTATCGGCAAAGACTTGGATGCTGAATTACCAGCTCAATTGCAGCAATTACTTGGAAGTTTAAGAGATGCTTTTCTCGCGGAAGATACGATATTACCGTCAGTCAGAAAAACGCTTTTACAACTGATCGAACTTCATGCTGCTCATTGGCAACTTCCAGCACCGGCAGTTGTTTATTATTATCCTGGATCGACTTCGAAATGATGTTTCTACCTTTTCGATTTCTCCGTCCGTTCATTGATTTTCTGTGCTGATACGAATTTTTTAATCATTTTAAATTAATTAAGAGCTATATTTTTATCCACGCAATTATAAAGTGGAGTATTAAACGTGTAATAAACGGCTCCAAAAAACAATAAGCTAAGCCGTTTGTGATGCGTTTTTGTGAAATTTTTTTTTTAATTAATGCCTCGTAATGTAGTTGTAATGTAATATTGACGATTGATGCATCAATCGACAAAATACGAATAACCGTGATCTCGTTGCTACTACAAAGAATGACTGTGCCTTGTGCAATTCTGCAAGAAGTGATTTACGATGATTGCACTTCGTTGCGAGAAATGTCAATCTATGTTTGATTTTTTGCACGATTGATTATTTCATTCGTATAAATACTTGAATGTCTATAATCTATTAACATGATGATAGAATTCGTTTGTATTTTCTATGCTTTCAAATTAAAAATACTTCATTAGGAAGTTAATGGATTAAGAAATCAGAAACCAGTTAAAATTGATACATTATTTGTCCGAATTATCGTGTTAATTACCGCAAAATTTGAATTTTAAAGGACAAATAGATTTATGAAAAACCTTGAGAATTAAACATATATATATATGTAATGAATGAATGATTTAACAGAACAGATATTTGCAAAAAGAAAAAAAAATGTCATCATCAGAGAATCAAAAAAACATGAATAATCACGGATTATGAGATATTTTACTTCGAATTTTCCTCGGCTTTTTACCGTAAAAAAAAAAAAAAAAAACGATACTATAGTATACACGAAACATCTTAAAAAAGATATAAGATAAAAAATAACGAATCGAATGAGTAATATTACCGTCGAACGATTATATTATAAAAACGACCCTTATGTGGAACGATTTGAATGTTTGCAATAATTTATATGATTTTTTTCTTAAAAGTGTGGAATAAATGATGGGTAAAAAACTGATGTTAAACAACCTTTTGGTGTGTTCTGGATGCATTAAAATCTAGAGTCGAACCTTTTTTTTACATGTATGCAAACCATTCGAAAAAAGTAGTGAATGTGAATGTGATTTACAAATTAAATACAGGTACAAAAATTTTTTCGTTCTAAGACGTTTGCTTCTTGTTAATCATTTTTTATCCTTTGTACATTAATATTGGTTTTAATTTCAGATATCATTTTGTAGATAAATAGTATATCAAAGACATGAATTTTTTTCTATGATTGCCTATAAAAACTGTTGCTAAATTGGCTATATATTTATCATAACAGAAACGAAGAGCTTTTTGGAAGGAAGTAGTTAAGCAGAAAAGAACTTAATGTGACATATATTCTCAATAAGGAATATGTCTGATCTGCTTTTCGAAATGCAATCTCCTTTGCTGATTTGTGCCAAGGGCGATAAAAATCGCTTGGTAGATGGAGTGGAGATTTCTTTGCGAGTTGACTCATTATTCATATCTTTTTCTTTAAATATTTTATTTTATTTAAATATATTATTTTTATTAAAATTTTTAAAGATTTTATATTTAAAATTTATGGTACATTATTCAAAAATGAATATCATAAAAGTTATAAAATCTTATGATAAGTATAATGTTGAAACATATAATCTTATTTTACAGTTTTTCTGATTTTTTTAATTATATATGTGCTATAAAACAGGAAAAAAAAACACATATTTGAGCAATTATTTTCATAAATAAATAAAGAACACAATATTATCAAGATAATATTATTCTTTTATTGATAAAAGATTATTGATAAAATGAAACAATTGTTATATTAGGTTTGATGTAACAAATATATATTTAATTTAATGTGTGAGTTTGCATTTAAAAATGCATTATTAACGAAACAGAATTTCATTTCAGGAATCCTTTAGGAATTTGAAATTTATAGGAAAATTCATAGAGATATAAAATTAATATTTTATAGCGTGCAAAAATCTTTGATCAGGTATTTTTAAAATTATTTTTAATAATATAATCAATAAAATAAATAATAATAAATACATGTTTGATAAATCATTTTCATTTATTTAAATTGAAACATTAAATATACATCTAGTTATATTAATCACATTTAAAAAGCATAAAGCTTTGAGATGCAAATTGATATTTTATCCCCTTATATCAAAATTATATGGTATCAAATTCTGGTTATTTTTACTTAATATTTATTTTAAAAGAATAATTAATTTTGTATAAACTTAAATAAGATTTTGAGATTCTTAGTTTATTACACGTTAACTATTACACGTTAGTATTTTCAAAATTATATTAATGTTCTAACTAACTTTAGATCATATGTTTTATAATCATAATGTATTGTTTCCTTTAGTATACCTCATCATCGAGCAATATACTCATGTCAAGGTCATGTGTATTGTCCTCCATACTTGTCCCACGTTTTACGTCCGGAATCAAAGAAGCAGAACACGAAATGCTTGTATTCCAACTGGTAAATTTCGTCGCTGTCAGGATGTTCTCTATTGCTATCCGTAGGAGAGACGTCCCGTCATCGACCTTGAAAACTCAGGTCAGAGAACCGAGAGAGGTTTCGCCTTGGGTAATCGGTGCCGCGGACTCGAAAACTAGGCCTGTGCCTGCGGTAGCGGTGACGTCGTCATCAGTACACATCGCGATGTACACGGTGAACGAATCATGGGAAGAGGTGAAGAGACGACGAGGACGAGAAGAGGAGAGTGGAGGAGTATAGAGGCGAATAAGAAGACAGAGCTGGTGAGCATTTGAAAGAAGAAGAAAGATAGAAAGAGATGAAGAGAAAGAGAAAGAAATACATGCATAATGTTAAATGGAGGGAAAGAGAAAGAAAGATAGCGCGTTCGCGGTAACGAAACAAATAGGCCGGCGACTTTCACCGCGTATCCAAGAACGGCTATACAACACACACAGGCAATAGGCCGAGCGCTCTTGGCCCAAACCACTTGAGTATGAGGTGTACCCTCGCTCACCGTTCTCGATATCCTCGCAGTGGGGGGAATCCTGCTCGAAGCCACCAGACACGAGGCATACCCTGAGAGTCAAAGCGAACGGACCTCGATTCTTTTTCTTTCATCCGTATATCGCACGTGTTGTCTCTGTTCTCCGTGATAGCCCGGTTACAGACACACGGTAGCATATCCACGACACGGAAAGTGTCATTTCGTCGCTCTCCTTTTTTCTCTTCTTTCGTTCCCTTCGTCAACAATTTTTTAAACGTTTGTCTTTGTCGCGGTGCGTGTCTCGTCTTATATGTCTTCCTTATAACTGTTCCTCTTTTACACGTTAGTATACTTACAGATCATTCTACCAAAGCAGAAACATATTTCGTCAGGATATGCATTTCCTCGATAGAGTTTGAATCTAAAGCATTGGATAACAGTGATTGTTTAGTGTGCCAGAAGCGGGATCAAGTGGTGATAAACGAAAACATTAAAAGAAATGCACGGGTGCGTGTTGCCGATTCGTTGACGATGACACGACGACGACCACCGAGATCAGATTCAAACTGGATCTATTTGTTAATCTGGCTACTTTGGATCGTCCTGCCTATTAAGACCGGTACAATGCTCATGACTTTTACTTTATGTTTAGTGTACGCGTGCGATTCCGTTATGCGCTCAAACAAGTTCAAGACGAAAGTGTACCTAAAAGTAAAAATATAGAGCAACGATGTTCCATCGGAAAGGTTTTCTTTAGTATCTTTTAATTGGAACAATGATATATTATTTTTTAATACTGATACGTTAGAAGTAGGTCTATTTGAAATGAAATAGAATTTTTTTGTATTTTCATAAAAATAGTTGATTTAGCTTTGAAACGAATATTCTTGATTGTCTAAAAATAATATATAAATCTAAATAGGAACAGAATTTTAAATTGAATATTAATTCTTACTCTTCTTTGTTGATACATGTAATAATTTTGAAAAAGGATGATATATTAGACTATTAGTTTATTATTATTAATTAAATTATATCCTGATTTTGATTACTGTTATATGAATAAGTATTTAATTTTCATAGTGAAAAGAATTTTTATTTAATTTTTGTCAAGCTCTATATAAAGAAAGTAATTAGTAAAGAAAATTAAAGGTAATTCTAATAATAATATTAATGAATATATTAATTCTTTTTTAGTTTTTATTAATTTATTAATTTTTCTAATCTTTTTTATAATTTTAAGAATTAAAGTGAATTTATGTTTCTAAAAAGTTTGAATATCATATAAGAACTTACACATATTTTATCTAAATCCAAATCTTATTTTGAATTATAAAAATTAATTCAATATTATTTAGGAAATTAATCTTTTCAGCATTCTTTTATTTATTTTTGAAGTGATTTAAAATTTAATCTTTTCATTAAATAGTTTAAAAACTAATTGCACATTCATTTGTAATTAATAAATACGAAACTTCGTCGATCGTAAATTAGACGTTGATAACCGGATCTGTTTAAATATCTGAGCCCCGATCTCCTCTGTAGCTAAAGAATAATTTATGTGCATAGTTGTCTGTCTAAATGATTATCACGTGATATGTCTAAACTAACGAATCAATCAATCTTTTCAAAAATAGTAACAAAAAACAAACGAATAATTTCATTTTTTCTTTCTTAAAAATTTCACGATTCTAAGAAATAATTCATATTTCAATGGCATTTCAAACCATTACGATGATTTATTATACATTAAAAAATTTATATATTTATTTAATTAAAAATTTTCACTAATTATTAAATAACTGTCATAACAATTGAATTCTTTTATGATGTTCGATTTTAAAAAAAATCGTTCTCTATTAAAAATAATTGGTATTTTATTGATAAAAATTTATATTTTCTTGTTGATTATGATCATAAATAACGTTTTCTCATGTTGCAGGAGTAGTGCACAGTTATGCAGATAAACAGAGGTACGATGGATGGTACAACAATCTGGCTCATCCGGATTGGGGATCGATTGGCAAGTAGTTCAAATAGCATTGCTTCATTATTTTGTCAACGACAAGCACACGTGTGTTAATTTGTTTAATTTTATTAACTCTTTATAGCTCTGTTTAAGTTTGTTTTACTTAAAATGATGCATTTGTAATGCATTAAAAATTACTACAAAATTACTATATTATTACAATTTATTGTAATATTATTACAATTATTACAAAGATATAAATAGTAATTATCAATGATAGTGAATATTTGTCACAAATATTTTTTATTGATATTGTGATGCGACTCGAATTGCAATAGCGTGCAAAACCAATGCATAGAATGAAACGCGAAAAAAGTTACTGTTTTATTTCAATATAGATCGGTATAAAATAGCTAATAAAAATTTTAACAGAGAAAGAATATAATTAACTCTGTCGACAAAAATGTTATGATTTTTTAAACATAAAAATCATTTTGTTCCTCGATCATATCTACTATCAATGTCTATTTATTTATAATGTTTATTTATATATAAAAGCTCTATTTATTTAATATGAATTATAATAATAATTACATTTTAAAAATAAGATATATATATTTTTAAAATATAAATATATAAATAATAATAAATAATAAATGTAAATAATAAATAATAAAAATATATCGAAATGGATAAAAATTAATAATAATAAAATTTTGTTATGATTATCTAATATTAACTATATATTTTATGTGAAAAAAAATAATTATAAATTAATATTTTAAGATCCATTATTTTTTTCTATTTTATTTTCTATATATTTTTATAATTGGATTATTATAATTGATAATAAATCCAATTATTATAATTGGATTTTGAATATCCATTATTTTTTAAATTATATTGCACAA